TTATGTACTCATAAAAGAAGTAATCATTAGTCTAGTAAGTGGTCATTGTTTACTAACTAATTGTTTGACCACAGTATTTGTATTGACATTATAATTGATTCAAGTTTGCCACGCATTGGTATTTATGGATTATTAATACAGTATTTTCTCTCAATATTAGCGATACTCAGGATAAACTTACTTAAACTCATATATTTATCTGATTATTATTCCACAATTGATATATAACACAATTGTTTTTAAATAATAAACATAATATCTTGTACCGGTACAGTATTAATATTTATTAATTATAGTATTTGTACCTTGTACTGTACAAATTCCACAATTGCCTCTAATTATAATCACTATTTTAATATGATTCGTATTAAATAAACATTTTTAGTTGCTTTAATTAATCATTGAGTTATAATTGAACACTATATTTATGAATGTTTATTTAACAATTACAGTATAAAAATTAATTAACATTTTAAGCAAAACATTATTTCAAACAAGTAGTTCTAGTAAAGTTTACAACATATTTACAACTATAAGTAATTTAACAAATACTTTAACATAAAAATATTTATTACAAAATTAGATTTCAATATTAATATAAATTTACAAATCATAAGATAATTTTTAATAACAATTTTAGTCATTAGTATTAACTATTCTAAAGCATTTCTACCTTATTTTGATAGTGTTCATTTATAAACTGTCAATAAACGTTAAAATAATAATTTTTTTATATACGCTAATGATTTTCAATGATATATTTACACAGCTTTCTATTGTTTAAGATGTTCAGCAATTCATGACCTAAAGATCAAGAGGGAAAAGGAGGGGAGGGGTGCCCAACAAATATCATACAAGAATCTGTGAAATGAATTTTCTAAACACCACGTATATAATCTTAAACATTATAATTAATGTTTGTCCAAAAATATTAGCCATTAATTTTAAGATATTCATACTTTCACCAGATTGCCGTTAACTTTTAATTTACTAAACATATTATACAAATTTTTAATCAAGACTATTTTAATTTGATATATTCTTAATATGGGTGTTTGATACATTAATTTCCTTGCAAATTATCATACTATTAACACATACCTTTACGACTTAAATATTATAGTCAATCATTTATTGACTACAGTATTTTAAATGCAAAATTAATATATTTTCAATAAATTAAGTTATCATAAAAAATAATATCATATTTAAGTTTTTTATATAGTCTTCACTTCAGTGTATACAAAGTGAGAGTAATTATGAATAGATAGTAATTAAATTAAATTTTATTCATTTGTTGTTGAACACATTACAGAATCTAAATTTTGTTAATACATTCATATATTTATACCTGGTCATTGTCAAGAGTATTACCGATATAAATTTATTATAAAACTATAAATACAACGATAAAACCGGAATACACATACAGGGGGTGACCCTACCCGGACGCCTGGCCGGACGCCTGGGCGACAGCTTGAACGTCCTTTTTCAACTTCTCGACCATAGCTAAGGCCTGTTGGCACGCAGCGGGCAAATCAATTTTGCCGGATTGTACCTTGCTGTTCAGGCTCTCCTTATTGGTTTTGAAGGTCTTCAGATCGGTCTGCAATTTGGTGAGTGCTGTCTGGAGTGGCGCCGGCAGCTGGGCCTTCTGGGCCATAGCGGCGTCCACCTGTTGCTGGGCACCAGTGATGGCAGTCGTCAGTTGAGTGGCCTTTGCACTGAACGCCTCCTTTGTCTTGCAGTCGGCCTCCGTATACGGACCTATTGGGTGGTCATAGTTGCCATAAGAGGTGTACATGAGATCATAAGTTTGAAGTTACTTTAAATACAATTAATTTAGATCTTATACTGTTTTGAATATAAATTTTGTTTTACATTTAATTCAATCCATTCATTCATTTAATCCACTTAATTTACAGTATTATTATTATGTAATTCTCTATGTGCTTGTTTATTCTTGTATGTAGTATTTATTATTCTGTATCACTGATTCACTGAATTGAGCTCCATGTATGATATTACAAATAACAGTACCTATAGCATAATAAATGTAAATGCTACCTACTTTTGAACCACACAGTTTAACTTTTATTATTATTAGTTTAACTTATTGAAACTTATTATAATAATAATAATTAACTAATTTCAGTACTTTTGATACGGTATCATATTAATATTATCAGCTAGAAAATATTTAAAATAAAAACATAATTTTTTAATTCAAGTCTCGACAAAGAATATTATGCTTGCAATATTTGTTGCACACAATGAATAATTAAAATGTTTAATCAATTATTTAAGAAAATGTTTGGTAAAAATGAGATAAATCAATTATTATACATACAAACTACCGACGCAATGAGAATGGCTGCCAAACACGACCCAAGTATTAGTTTCATGGTTTCAAAATTTAATTAATTGGTCTGAGACTTGATTAATTGATTTCAATTTAAAATTAATTAGTAAAATAATAGTCGCTTATATACGCTAATTATTTTTTAATGATTTGTTTGATCAGTTTTTTCATTGTTTCACAAACAGTGAATATAAAGGTCGGGAGGGAAGGGATGCAAATAGAGTCTAGTTAGTAGACAACAATTTAAAAAAGATTTTCGTGACATATATTATTGTAATCTATTTACAAGCGATTGAATAATTATTAATTATTTCGACATATTATTTACATAGTTTATATAATAGGCCAGCTTACAAATGGCGTACATAAAACATTTAAAATAATATTATTAGTAGTTCTTATTGTAAATTTAATATAATTAGTAATTATTAATTACATTAAAATCATTTTATTTAGAGTATAAAGTTCAATCTTTTTGAATAATTGAATAATTAAATTATTATTAACATAAACATTTGTTTTTAATAATTAATAATTATATAAATCCATTGAATTATTTCATTTAAAACAAAATGTGAGAGATTACGCAAAAAACAATTAGAATATGATAATTACATATACCAATTTAGCCACGGCAAGTAAGTCTAGTCCAAGTTTGACAATCATGAGGGTAGCCTCAGTACAGGCGGCGCCCACCGCTATTTTGCCGGACTGTACCCGACTGTTGAGGGATTCCTTACTTTTCTTAAAAGCTGCCAAATCTTTGAAGCATCTACTGTATCGCTCATTGAATTGCCTATTAACAGACCCCTATGTCTTTAATGCCACAAATGACATATGACATGACATACCAGACATATTTTATGAGTTGTCTGCTCACAAAATAATATTAATTTAATTGACTCATTATTTATAATATTATTAATTTAAACAACAAAGTTAGACTTTAGTGACCATTTGTGGTCAGTTATGGTCATTATTTTAAAATTATGTTAAATTATTGTTGCATTCAACATAAATAGTTTCTATTATTAAAATAATTAAGTTGTGGTCAGTACTAGCATTGGTCAGTAATGGTCAGTATTAATGTAACTGATTATTATGATAGATATTTGCGATATATTAAATTTAAATAAAAAACATTTTTAAGTTTCTATTATTAAAATAATTAAGTTGTGGTCAGTACTAGCATTGGTCAGTAATGGTCAGTATTAATGTAACTGATTATTATGATAGATATTTGCGATATATTAAATTTAAATAAAAAACATTTTTAAAAAATATTGACCACTATTGACCAATTCAAATACTGACCATTTAAAAACGCTTATGCTCAATTGGTTTTAGTTTATTATTAAACATTTATACAATGATATATTATGTGGAAATAAAATGGACATAAGATGGACTACATTGTATGTTGTCATGTAATTTGTCAAATGTAAGTGTTTGCATCATAGTGTTCAGACAGTATGTTTGCTTATTACATCCGGTTGCACATCTCTGATATATATGAGCATGCACACTTGTGTGTGAGTTATCAATGAGTTTTTCATGAATAGTGCGATATATGCGAGTTTGTGCGCCAATCGTATGTCTAGTTTTGCAAAAGTCGGCGTTTGATTGGTCGATGATTTCTCTTTCTTTTTGTACACTATTTTGCATTTGTTTGACACGAAAACAAGTCTTAGGCTTAAGTGCGAGTACTTTGCAAGACATCACTTGAGTAGAGAGGGAACAGTAGCTAATGTTTGCTGTAGTCGTCTGAACACTGGGACCATTGAGACACCACTCCTGAACACTCAATCCTTTCACACAGAAAGCCATGTAATGAACACTCACTCCATTCACTCCACTATCATATGTATAGCCATAAGGAATATTCTATTCATACAATTATTATCAAACTATATATCATTTACATTATTCTATACATATTCATCAAAACATGTTCATCATTACAAGTATTGGTCATATTCATAAATTCATCATGCACAAATCCATATTTAAATATTCACTATTCATGCACATTATTCTGACATATGCCTCATTTAATTTACACAAATCTCATTAGCCTGGTTGTATTCATAATTATGTTAACCCTTGCAACTTAAGCTTATTCTGTTCACTTAAATATCTCTCTCTCTCTCTCTCTCTCTCTCTCTCTCTCTCTCTCACTCACTCACTCACTCATCTAATTAATCATTTACAATGGATATATGTTAGGTTGAGCTGTAGTGTGTTATACTAATCGTAAAATGTCCATAAATATTCTTATAAATGTTAGCATGGACATATTAAAAATTACTGTAATATACAGAACAGAAATTTTTTAAATCAAAGCTTATACTGTATTACATTGTATACATTGTATTGTACTGTACTCTGCCTATTGATGCATATTTATGACAATTCTCATAATCACTATCAATACTGTATAGTAGAGTGAGTGAGTGAGTGAGTGAGTGAGTGAGAGAGAGAGAGAGAGAGAGAGCTGTGAGACTGTGAGATGCTTAGGAATGGATGAGCGGATGAGTTAACGAAAGGAATGTAAGACTCAATGAATTGATTGCCTGAACGTCAATGGATTGAGTGGTGAGTGAGTCGACCAATAGGTGTCACAACAGTCCACATGTGGTGTCAAAACACAAACACGTGTTTCACTGACTCTTCAACGCATTCATTGATTGTCTTTTAATCACTCGTTGTTTACTGCAATTGAATTGATTTGTTGTTTGAATTGAATTACAAGTGATTTACAAATAATGGCAAAGAGTTTGAGGAGTAAATGGAAACGAAAGATGAAAGCAATAAAGAGAGTGAGATATTCGGACAAAGAGCTGATCCGATTGAAGACTATGATCGATAAAAGCCAACAAAAGGACACCAATAATGGTTTGCTTTGATTGGATTGGTTTGAATGAATAAGTGATTGATTGAATGGTTTGTCATAAATGGTAGATAAAGACAAAGACATAGTAATGAAGAGCAT